CGCGCGGATCTGCTACGTTAGCGGCGTTCTGGCGCCGTGTGCGTGCGTGCGCGCGGCTCCGTCGGCGGGACTGCGAAAGTTTGCTGCGGTGGCGGCGTTCGGCGACGGCGGTCCCCGTGCTCGTGACGATGGTGCACGCGCGCCTCTGCCGCCGCTGCCGGTCGCGCCGCGAGCATCGACCCGCGCCGTACGCCGGCTCGAGAACGAAAATCGATCGGGCGGGAACGCCGCGCGCGCCCGCTCGCCAGCGGTCTCCCCGGGGTGACGGGCAGAGTCGCAGAGACGCGCACATTCTGCTTTGGCGAGCAGATGGCGTTCCCAGCTTTGACCGAATGACCTCGCGGCGGCGGCGCGGGCACCTCGGCATCCACCGACGCCGTAATTGCAGGCCCAGCATCGCTTCCGCCCCTCCCCTTTCCGCGTATATATTATAATATACTCGCCCGCCGAATGCTGCAGCAGCGATCGCACCCGCCACCTGTCCACGGTCCACAGCAGATGAGTCCCCTTTGATGTGGATCCGTGTATAATAATAATTTATATATAAGTGTGTGTGTGTGTGTGTGTGTGTGTGTCGTTCCAGCCACGCGACGACTGCACCCACCCCTAGGCGAGACCCCGTCGTTATGTTGTACCTATATAGTATTATGTGTGTGCGTTATAAGCAGTTCGCGGTGCTCCGGAGGCGGTGTGATGTGGGTCGCGTGCAGGTTTTTCGACTTTACAGCTGATAGGTATCGAAGTCGTCGCCGGCGATCGGCAACGATGTTTTTTTCCAATATAACATTATCATTCTATTTTATGCGCAATTATACTATTACGAATCATCTGCATTCCGGTGAACGGGTGAACACTGAACGCTGCAGTTTGATGCACCGCACTGCGCCGGAACGTTCATATTTCATAACGTGTACTGCAGTTCGCACCCTACCCCGTCGGCGGTCCGCCCACCACCCACCAACACTAGATAATTACATAATTTGTTTACCACATAAATACACCACGGTAATTGTTTTACCATAACTGAAAACGGCTATCATCTATACCAATATTAAGCAACTGGATTTTATAGATATGGCTCGGAGTATAGGTAGTAGTCGAAATAGCAGTGTAACTGGCCAACGACAGTATGCAAGTTTTTATTTGATTAGGTACCGATAACATTTATTTTAGATTCTGAGCAGATGCAGAGCAATAGAGCATGAGATTGGTTTCACAATGATGGGTGTTTTTGTTTTGTTTTTCATATCTGTTTCTATTTATTGAGGTTGGTATCTGATACCTATTAAATTGAAACTGTATAGTTATTAGTTTGTTCTATGGAGGCTCGACAAACAAATGTTCAGTACAATACTACAATAATTTGTGTTTGGGGGAGGAAAACATGAATATTTACAGAACGCCAGATTATGATAGACATTTTTTTTGTTATTATTCAAATAAAATGAATAAATATATAAAATACAATAACCTTTAGACGCTAGAAATATTCACCAAATGTTAATGTTACAGGTCTCTACTTCTCTAATTACTATTTCCAAATATTTCAGCATTTTTTGATTTTTTTTTAAAAAAGTTTTTAATATTTATTTCATTGAATATGATAAATTCTATTTACAATCAATGTTATCTTATAAACAGGTGGGAAAGTGGGTGTAGTGTGCACTGTGCAGGGGCGTAATTAGGGGGGGGGGAGTTAAGGGGGTTTTATCTTTTATCAAATGGTGGATGGGTTTGGATGTAGATCATAAAAAAACACAGTTATTTTAATTAAAGAAAACATATTAATTATTTATTATACATATTATAATGCTAGAACAATGAATGCCGTGTAGAGGCGTGAACCACAGTCAATGCATGTGTACCTAACGTCCTAACCTCTATGTACTATCAACTTAATAATAATAATATTGATAACATTAATCTTATCAATTTACAAAAAATACAACAAAGGGGATAGATCCCCCGCCAAACTTTTTTTTTACTGCTAAAATGTTGATCAAAGTATTGACAATGACCATTCATGTTTGCTAAAAACGTATATCCCCCCCCCCCCAAACCAAATTCCTAATTACGCCACTGATAGTGTGGACCACTGTAATGGGTATGTTCGCGTGTTAAATCACCTAAATTTGAATTCAATTATAAAAAATTAATGTATACGAAAAACGATTCTACGCTACGACTGTCTGTTAGCCTATATTACTATAATTGTATATAATATTATTGCTATTAAAGTAGTTTATTTTAATATTATTTAATAGAACAGTCGGTTGAATTATTTTTTACAGAAATATTTCATTTGGTATACTTTAAAAGTTACAATTATCCTCGAATAATATTTTTAAACTACAAAAAAATAACGACAATTGTACATTCATTCTCCGTTTGAATACCAATCTTATTTCGTCCAAATTTGAACTTTTAATGTTCATAAAAAAGTCATGTCTGTGTACCTATAATATTTTACAACTTCTATTATAACGACTCATGAGGAAACTTATATTACATTTTCAAGCAAAAAATGTACTATAGATATTTATATAAAAAAAAAAAAACATTTATTTCTTATACCTATAAATAGAACACAAAAAAATATTCATGATATTGTATTACTTCACTCAGAATAATAATATATTAATTGGGTATATCGTATATATCTTGGTTTTGAATTATTTTACACTAGGCAGTAGGCACATGATTATTTTTCTATAATTTCAATGTCAAGACTGATAAAAACAACTATCGTTGTTCGTTGAATCGATGCCAGAGAGAAAACTATAATCGTCCGTTGACTGCAGCAGCAAGTTCCACTCCTACAAATGTACAATAATACATTATTCCCTACTCGTTAACCGTAATATAATAGACAGGACGTAGGATTTTGTATAATATAACATAGTCCCTGGGCAGCGACCGAGTCCATGAAGATGATATTTTGTCATAAGCTCTACATCTTTGCCCCGTCGAATTGTCACCATACCTACCCAATTATACCGTTGTCGGCTACATAATATGATATAATACCACTCTATGTGACTATGTCTCTATATATATATATTGAATATTTGAATGTGGTACATGTAATGTAGAGTATAATACGAAGCTACAATAATACAATGCGCAATAACGCTTCATAAACCTATATGTAAAATACACTTATATAGTAGTTATACTAAAAATCGTGATACGTAACACGACTAATATAGTATGTTTTACCATGACTTAGATTTACTTGGATTTTATAAACCTATATACACACGTTATCAGGACCGATTTTAGTGAGGAAACGAGACCCTGGCCCTTACGCCACAACCAGATAGGTGGCTACCATAATTTTTTTTTAGAAAATAAATAAATTTATTTATCTTGATTCTTGATATATTTTTTTATACACAGCATCAAGGTCGTGTTTAAGGTGCACAAGCCCCCCCCCCCCCCATAAACCGTAATTATACTTTTTTTTTTCAGAGTAATGTCTTTAATAATGAGCAATTAGAGGACGCCGCATACCCGCATGCGTTGTCACCGTCTTACAAACGCATGACATTCTGAATAATTAATTTGACTCTGTTATGTTTAATTTTAGAGTGAATTTATTGACCTATTACAAAATTTATAAGTAACAATATTATTTGGTCTATGACATAGGTATTTTTATGTTTTAATTTTAATGTGCGTTATGAGAATTTTAAATGAACCGACAATATACTATTTTAACATGCTCATAAGCTCTAAATTATAAATCTGACACCGGAAATTAAGGGCTAAAACTTAAACTATATATATATTAACACTGTATACCTAATCACAATATGTATCATATTAAAACCAGGTCAAACTTGTTTTTACATATGAACTGGTACAGCGGACAGTCGCAGTACAACCCGACGGGTGATCTCGTCAAACTATAACACTGTTTACACTTGCAGTGTGCGTTTGTCGTTGATATCGTGAAAGAGACTTCACCGCTATTGATATAATATAGAGGCACACGACTGTCGTAGTGGCAATATCTCGCACGACCTTCCATTTAACTATCGCATACTCCATCCGGGCGAATCAGAATTTCCGCGAGGATCATTCCCAAGTTACAGTGACGACAAATTTTTTGATAACAAACGAAAGTACCCTGTGTGCATAAAGAAGAACTAACTGTCTATGTGCCGTCTGTTTTTGTTCTCAAAAGTGACGGTACATTGTAACTTATATGTACCTTCAAATATACGTATAAGAATAAAATGTCATTATGATACCGATATATAACTTCTCGCCGTAGCTGTGTATGAGAATTCCATATGTAATATCACATAGAAGTTACTATTGAGAAGTTAAAATGATTGATGATATGTGACATAACTGAGAAGTTACAATAGTTACGTATAAATAATTGTTATATATAAAATACATGATGATAACACCCGAATGTGGTTTTTAGACTTTTAAATAATATATAGTATAAACATAATAATAATCAATATATTATCGCACCCATACAAATTATAATTTTAATAATTATATTATATATCATTTTATTATCTTTTTTAGTTTTTATTTTTTTAGTATCAAGTATCTATAATATTATAGACTATAGAGACGAATGCACGATATTGAAATTATGTTAATCGACAACTATATGTATCGTTATGATAGTCTTGAGAGTGTGGCGCGGGTACAGGGTAAATGGGTTTAGCCGTATGTCGCAAAGAATCGGAACGAAAATAGAATAAGCTGATAACAAAAATAAATTGTGAATTATTGTTTGTTAGCTACATAAAATTATTATTTCTACACTACATTCAATCATTTTAGGCATAAACATTGTGTAATATACTAATATCCAATGTTTACAATTCATCATGGTATAATATGTATTTTTGTCTGTTTTCATTTATTCTTAAAAATAATATCGGACCAAATTATATTATATAATACGGCCAGTGCCAACCAACTGACCTGGCCAGTCCACCCTTGATACAGTATATTATGGCCTTTGAAAAATGGAGAGTCCAATAATCTTTGATGCTCTAGTAAATATGTCACCGTCCATTAGTACATAATAATATAATATACATAAATATACAATATATAGGAACAATCCTACAATCGTTATTAGTTATTGTTTGCTGGTACCACAGAATGGGGGGGGGGTACGTGGAGTTTACTATTATATACCTTCCGACTGCTTATGTATTTTATATACACCATATTACACTTCGCCATTCATCTCGATAGGTGGTGTCCCAATAGGTTAGGCGTAGGTCAATAAATGTAGGGGTGGCAGGTTCGAATCTTCGTGGATCAATCCGCGGACAGGTAACAGTGAATACATTTTTTTGCTTTTTTTCCCCTGGACTTTGTGCACTTTATGCGAAGTCTATGCGATATCTCAAACTGATTTCTCATGGAAGTTACAATGTGATGAAACATAGATGATTATTTTGCGACATCTCATGCACTAACTTCTCAAAACCGGGCATTAAGCGTCACAGTAGTGTCTCAGAGTAGTCTCTGAGTCAAAATTATTAACTTCACATGTCTCAATGTGACTAATATGTAATGTCTATGAGAACATATTTTGCACACAGGGTAGGTACGTGATAATACGTGATAATAAAGTACGTGTGTTTTCTGACTATAAATATTTTTGTTGTAAATAGTCATGGACTAGAATTTTATATTGTTTATTACCATTGCACCACTATCTTTTCCACTGTCCAAAATTAAATTCTTATATTATGAAGAAAGAACTGTGTGTATTCTAACCGTAAAAGAATAAAAAAAAAACACCCGTCGAGCTATTGTCAAAAACTAGTTCCGATTTTATTGATAGAACAATATTCGCATTATCATTATTATTAAATAGGTACTATAAAAATAATAAAAATAATAAATTTTGAGAAGTTGATATTATATTATTCGAGTTGTTGTATAATTCGAACTTTCGTTCGAGATAATACAAGACTAAAATTACATAATATCTAAGAGTTTTTATATTTCTCTATATAATGATACTTAATAGGGCGGTATAGTGTTTGCCCCTGGGTGGCTGGGCGGTTAATACAGCTCTAAGTGTTATTATAGTACTGTGTCTGTATATACTATATACATCTACTTTTGTAAAGCTGAAATAAATATTTCTCTCCCCGCTTAACTCCGAAACCTTCGTCCGATTAATAGCCGGTATTTCTACTGTGTGCTACATGTAATATGTATGTCACCAGATTAGATTTTATCACGACATAATAAATGTATATAATATTATTAATATTATTTCTACAGATCACGGCTCTAGTTGTAGAACCAACTGGTCGTTGGACGATGGGGCTGCAGGTGACCATGTTGGCGGTTATGGTGTTGTCACTGGCGTGGACGCCCCCAACAAGTGGCGCCAGGATACTGGCAGTGTTCCCGTACAACGGCCACAGTCACTTCGCAATGGTCGAACCGCTGATGGTCGCGCTATCCGAACGCGGTCACCATGTTACCGTGATCAGCCCGTTCCCGCGACGCAAAGACAGCGGAGGCGGAGCAGGCCGGTACGTGGACGTGGACGTGTCGGACTCGCTTCCACCAGTCATCAGCCAGCTGAACGTGACCAAAGAGTTCGGGTACAGCGTCAACCCGGTTACCGGGCTTCGAGACCTGTGCCAAATGAATCACCGGGTGTGCGAAGCCACATTCGAACACCCACTAGTCCGTGCGCTGATCCACGATCCCCGCACGTTTGACGTGGTGTTCACCGAAGCATTCGCCACAGACTGTTTCTCGGCATTTGCACACGTGTACGACGCACCCCTGGTGTCCATCCGGACGTCCAACTACTCGCCGCAGCTCAACCGGCGCGTGGCCAACCCGCAGAACCCATCGTATCTGGTCAACCACCTACTCACGTACACCGGCCACGGCATGTCGTTTGCCCAACGGCTGATCAACGCGCTGGCCACGCACTTCGGCGCAGTCGGATTCCATGCCTTCTCCGACGGCCCGTCCACCGAACTGGTCCGGCGGCACTTCGGTCCCGGTACACCACCGGTTCCTGAAATCACGCGTCGACGCACCGCACTTGTGCTGGTCAACGCCCACCACAGCTTCACTCAGCCCAGGCCAACGGTTCCCAACGCGGTGGAGGTGGGTGGCTTGCACATCACACAGCCTGTGGAACTTGAAAACGCGGCCAACGTAAGTAATATACATTCAGACGTAGGAAGTCTTGGCAGCGCCCTCACAGATTATAAATAGTGAGCAATTACAATTAAAAATACACAACCATACTTCCAAAATACCAAATTGAAAAATAAGTTGAACAGTTCATCAATTTTTAAAATACATACACACAAAACAAAACAATTTTTTTTTATCGTTATAAATGAATTCAATTAAATATGTAAACGCACTTAAATCACTGTCATATAATTATATCCAGAAACCATATTATTAATAATTTATCATTAGCATTATTATTTACATTTTGATAATATCTTTGTGTTTTTTGTACTGGTGATGCAATAGGAATGGACAGATTATTGCGATTTGTGCGACCAAGGTGTCATTTACGTGTCTTTTGGTTCGTTGTTGAAGGGATCGTCGTTTCCGGTACAGTTCACGACGGCATTCGTAAGGGCTTTCGAAGAGCTACCGTATTGCGTGCTGTGGAAATACGAGGGCGAAATGATATCCACACGAATTAAAGTGTCCAAGTGGATGCCCCAACAGCAGATCCTGAGTAAGGTCCACGACGGAAATGTAGTCATTGTGCTAATAATTGAATATTATAACGACGACCAATGATTAAATTGTGACTATTCTTTGAACAAAATCACACAATAGTCGAATAAATCCCACGTCCTCATCACTGCATTCAAGAAATTCAAAACCATATTATGTAGATATTATACAAAATGAATTGAATGCAACTTAAAATTCCGTTTTTTACATTTTCAATCCTATATCCTTAAGATGAACCGCTTTAGAGTGTTATTTATTTTATTAAAGAGGGACTGGTTAAAATGTCTATCTTCGTAAACTGAGAGGACCTAGCAACTAGCTCACCCCCAACTAAAAATTTACTGTCTTAATAATTCGATTGGTATATCTGAAAATGCCACTTGGAATAATATTATATTTAAATAATACGGCGTTGTTGATAGGCTATTTTTAGTACACAACTTGGAATATACACGTAACACATATTATAGTCTATACAATTATGATTGTGCTTTCACAGGCCATAAAAACGTCAAGGTATTCATAACGCACGGTGGCCTTATGGGCGTTATGGAGGCTGTTCACTTTGCAGTGCCGATGATCGGCATACCTGTGTTTGGCGATCAGCAGTCGAACATCGCCGACTGTGTCGCAAAAGGCATAGCCATCGGATTGGACCATCAACAGATAACCGTAGAAAAACTGATCAAAAGCATACAATCTGTCATCAAGGATAGCAAGTAAGACTAAGTCTGATATTATTATCTACATATTTAATAGAATGTCTCATGCAAGAACTTCCTATAAAAAAAAAACCCCGGGGAAGTCACTATATGCTGTGTATTAGGTATCGAGGAATCACTGTTATTAATGTGTTAAATTTGAATTTTATATCTGATAAATCATTGACGAATTAAGTACAAATTAAAACATAAAAATTAATATGAATTTTCGATAATTTTAATTTTGTTGTCATAAACCATAAAAAATTATAATTATACACTACCTTGTATTCAATGTTCAAGCTATTTAACTAAGAAACAAAGAATTTATCATAAATAAGTCGAATAAGAACTAAGAAAGTCGATAAATAGCTCAAAAGAGCTAAAATATTTATATTTCTAAAAAATAAGAATATAAATATTTGATGAAAAATTCAACTCTATATGGTTAATCATTCTTTAATAAAAACAAAATTTATTTTACGTACCTACATAATTGACGATATTATAATTATATTATAAGTTATAAGCAAAAGTTAATTGAACCAAAATTTTTTTAAATAATTTTTATAATAATATTATTTATATGTTATATATTATAATAATATTTCGAAAATAACTTAAATGGATAAATATATTATATATGCAAACGCATTTACTAACTATATAGAATAAATTAAACTCCTTTAACACCGTATGTGTGAGAATAATAGGTATTGTATTTAAATTTCTTGAATTTAAGACAACCCAAAAATCACGACACTAAATACATACCATCACGAGGTTTATTTTTGCACTTGTACATTGCACAATATACACAATATTAAAACGTTCATTAAATTTATTTAAGATACAAGTCAAAGGCATCGGAGTTGTCAGCAAGATTCAGGGACAGGCCGTCAAGTGCACTGGAAACGGCCGTGTTTTGGACTGAGTACGTAATCAGGCACGGGAATTCGACCAGCACTGCATCTCTGGCGATGGATTTTGATTTTTATCAATATTTTTTGTTGGACGTGGTCAGCGTCGGGCTGTCGATTTTGTTATTTTTATTTTACATAGCGTTCCGAGTAAAAAAATGTATACGATAAAATATTATAACGGCCTGTTACTAGAGACGCGATTATAAAAAACCGATAAAATTTACAAAACCGAAATGCACACTTATTGTTATAATAAATGAATTTTAAAACACGTTTTGTTATGTTATCTAACATACCAGACCATATTTATAAACCATATATAAAATTAAGTTACTAAGTTTATAATCATTGCAGCTAAAATCTAATTTTTACAATATTATACATAATAATATAATAAACTGTATATAAAATAAACAAATTGAGCAATAATTCTGAAAATAAGTATAATTTGTTTTTAAACATTTCCCATTTGGTTCTTAAAATAAGTAATATTGTTGACCAATTAATACAATTGAATGGCGCAACGTATCATATTCGATGACATTGATCTAAGCGACCGTTTCTTTTTTACTCATCCACTCTTCAATTTCTTCGACACTAACATAAAATAACGAATTAACACACACATTAACATTACTTACCGCAGTTAGTAATTACTACATGGTAAATGTTACACCGACGTTTGCCATCTCTCTTGCGTATTTCCCCAAGGAGCAATAGTACGATACTAAAAATCTATGCTCTGCCATTAACTACCATAAAAAACAGTGTATTATAGGCCAGACTATTGGAAACAAATATTTTTAACTTGTCATAAAATCCAAAAAACTAAATAATGATAATAAGTCTGAGTCTAGGATTTATATGCAATCTAAAATAGTAAAATATGCATTTAATTTTGTTAGAATATGCAATTAAATTATAATATGAATTTACCAATAATTTCCCCACCATCATTAAATGAAACAGTACAGCATCTAATTATTTTAAAACAAAATTAATACATTTACTTTTTATGTAAGCAAAATACATTTTTGTCGGTTTTACTTTTAAATAAATCTATAGTATTTTCAATACGTTTTCAGATTATTTTTCGTCAGCCAACAAAATTACTGATTTTATGAAAATTAAATTAGGACCGTATACGTCATGGTATCTAGCATTTTACACTACTTTCATTTATATATACCATAAGACATGCATTTTTCTTGTTTAAGGTTAAAGTATGCAATAAAATGCTATATTATGTGCATGGTTCTTAAAATAAACAAAATAAAAAATAGATCATTTGTATCAATATTAGGTGATTCATGGACATACCTAAACAAATTTTAAAAGGACGTTGCAAAAAAAACATACTAATGCTTATAAATCCTATCCCGAGTTGTCATTATTTATGGTTTAACTAGACAACTGCAGGAGTTTTTTACTCAAGCAATATTGGCTCAAAACCCGCTGGGGTATAATTTATGGATCGCGTGGTCTTTCTCAATACCGATAAGCAGAAACGGCAAACATACCCTTCGGTGTCCCATCGACAAAAGTATAAAACTCTATACTTCAAACATTGAACTTACGTCCTTGGTACTGGGGTGTAGTTTTCGATTCCACGTTCCGTAACAAAAATGTTGTCTTCTATACGCACGCCACCAAACTTCCAAAATCGTTTCAGCACTTTTTCGTTCAAGAACCTGGACAGTACCGGATCACTGAGAGCCCGCTTTAACAGCTGAAACATTCGCATGATAAAGTTTAAAATCTCGATTAGTTTAGTACCTAGATATACTGAGACCTACATTTAGAGGGGTTAATATAGAAATTTGGTGACCTTCGCTAACAAAAAAAAGGCATTTCAAAATAAATTGCCTAATTTAAAAAAATTTGGCACGGGGGTTATCTCAACCCCCTGCCTGCTACGCCACTATTCGGCGTGGACATAACATACGAATAAACGACCTAAAAGACGCCACGGGTACGACATCACACCCCACATTATAAATTATAATATACAAAATCAAAAACATCAAATTTCAAAAAAATGTATTGTTATACCGGTTCGATGAAATAACACCCTGGCTCAACAGTGAGTGCCATGCCCGCTTCCAAGTTTCTAGCCGTTCTCAGGGCCTTGACGCCTGGCTTTAGCGGCCTGTCCGGATGTCCTTCCAAGTAACCACCAACATCGTGCACGTCAATTCCCAGTAGATGCCCAAGCCCGTGTGGTTGAAATATGGCGGCGAGACCGGCTTCGTACATTTCGTCAACGTCACCGCGAAGTAAATCAATTTCGCGCAGCTCTCTAAGTGTGACTTTGTTGGCCAGTATGTGCATGTCTACCCAGGAAACACCTAAAACAACATTACTTTAATATCGGGCTCAGACAATGATGGTTGCGTGGATACTTGTTTGGAGAATCGGGGTGAAAAATGGTAATTTTTTGATACCTACTATTATTTAACCAGTTATAATGAGCAAACAAAGTAGGTACGCTAATGTATTACCTACATAAATCTACGTTTATAGATAAATACTAAATAGTAAGCAATTACACTATTAAAGCCAATTAAAAAAAATATACTTTATAAACCATCCTGCTTATTACAAAAAAAGAATCATCATATAACTACAAGAAATCAAATAAAACTCAATTATATTACCTAACGGCTAACCTATAAACATTATTTTTGTCATGATAACGAAACTACGATTGACAAAAAACAATATTCGACAGTTAAAATTGCATTGATTTGAAAATCGTGGGAAGCGTATCAGAGGTTCAGACCGGAGGAACTCAAGTGAGCCCATATTAACAGCCTAGTAAATGTATAGGTACCTGGTTTTATGGCGTTCATAACGGCACGGCTGGCCGCAAGCACGGCGTTATAAATAGCGCGTTGATCATCGGTGAACTTTCCATTTGCTGGAAACGATACGGTCACGTCTGCCGTATAACCGCTGTACGATGCTCCCATGTCGAACAGACTGCAAACCAACAAACACAAGTTCAATATATTTATTTTGACAACTAATTTAATATTAAATCAGATAACCGTAATAACTAACAACTTATCAACTATCGTATTATACCTAATCAATATACTTTATGACTTATTACCTATTACTTATTACTTATTATTCGCATATGGTAATATTACTGAAATGGCTTGATATAAAATTTTGTAGGTACTTAACAAGTTTAGAAAAAATTCCGTCGAGAAATCGAGGTGATATATGGGCGTTAACTAGGTGGCTTTTTCTTTTAGTATTGTAAAAATGTTATATTTTCTTTGCCATCGACCATCATACCAGATAGTACGATGACAAAGTCTATAAAAACGGAAATCAAGAGATTATTCACACGGGCCATACTACAAAAAAAAATGAAATTTTAACTTACCTATAGGTATACTACGTCTAATGTCTATACAGTATGTCCCAAAAGTCCCGTATCACCCTTAATATCTCCATGTAAAATCACTATATTTAAACGTGGTTTTTTTTACAGTACTAAGTATGAAAATTCTGATTGAATGGCATAAAATTCATTTATTTTTTTCTTTAAATTCAAAAATTTTCAAACAATTTTTTTACGCATTTAAGAATTTAAAATTTTTAAGATAGCCATTTTGTTGAGCGTGTTTTTTAATACAGTTCAAAAAAAAAAAAATACTAAAATTAAATAAAAATTGACCAAGTTAGAGCAAGTTATGTTTTTGAATAATTGTAGTAAAAAAATAAATTATTGTTTCACATTTCAATAATGAAATATCTAATTTCAGCACACGACAATACTTTTACATTCCTAATTTATTTTTTTACTACAATTATTCAAAAACATAACTTGCTCTAATTTGGTCAATTTTTATTTAATTTTAGTATTTTTTTTTTTGAACTGTTTTAAAAAATATACTCAACAAAATGGCTATCTTAAAAATTTTAAATTCTTAAATGCGTAAAAAATATTTTTGAAAATTTTTGAATTTAAAGAAAAAAATAAATGAATTTTATGCCATTCAATCAGAATTTTCATACTTAGTACTGTAAAAAAAACCGCTTTTAAATATAGTCATTTCACATGGAGATATTAAGGGTGATACGGGACTTTTGGGACATACTGTATAATAGATAATTTACAATTATGAAAAAAAATCAATATATGTACGCGCTACACGAATGTCTGTAAACTATTATTTCAGACCTACAACGGCTAGAGTTGATGTTTATCATCCGTCGTATCGACATAATCAAAATATACATAATATTAATACATTACTGAACGACTTACTTTTTTACAGAAGCCACGCGTGTGTTCTACTATAAAAAAATAAATAACATTTCAGGTATACAGGATGATTTAAGAATCATGCACACCCCCATTTTTTCCTTACATACAAAATATAATAAATTTATTAAAATAAGGTTTTTTGGAAATTTTAAGCACTTATAGGTTCTTAAGCACCATATTTTCAAATACTTAGATATTTTATACCATTTAAGGAGTGTTCTGGGGTGTTACAAACTACTTATTTTCAAATGAGAACCCTACTTTTTTACTGTAAATAGTTAAGCAGTTTATTTTTTTTCAAAATGCTGATATTACTAAGTCAAAATTTGAACGAGTAGTTTCTGAGTAATTAACATCTATATTCTAATGACAATAGTTCTAAAAAATAGTTCTATAAAATATTAAATTGATGTAATACCAATTTATAATTTTATACTGATTATACACTCAGAAATATTTTACAAATTACAAAATTATTAATATTATTTACAATTTTCATTTAAATTTTTAAATTTTTCATTATAATTTTCAATTTGTCAAGTCACCCATACAGGCGCGCACCCAGAATTTTTGCTTGGGGGGGGGCTCAATAATTTTAATTTTTCCCTCACACACAAGTAAACAATTAAAACTAATTTTTAAATAACCAATTTTGTAAAAAATCGAACAGACTGAATTTATTATCTAAACGAGATTTTCATGCCACAGACAGTCGAAAGTCATAATTATCATTGTTATCGTAGTTAACAATCAAAGTCGACCGTACGTAATCGTTATTGTATCTATAAATCTAAAAATAATTTTCAACGAAATAAAAATCGACGATAGCCACCGTAGAGTATATTGATTGTCACAAACCTTATCGCGTAGTATTGAACTATTATGTATATATTATTATATGTGTATCTAACATAATAGCAAAATTTTAAAATAAAACTTTATCATTAATATACTATATTTTCTATAATAATGTGTAATTTAATGAAAAAATATTTTTTGGGGGGGCTTAAGCCCCAAAGCCCCCCCCCCCTTGGGTGCGCCACTGCACCCATACCTTCCAAACTTACTATCACGAACCTATAATATTACACTATCCTTCGAACACAAAGTAGTTAAATAATACAAACACTACTTTTCTTGTTATCGACATCGATTTAATATTTTAATTACATCAACATTCAACATTTTCAAAAAGTTCTCTTCTGACATTATACAGGAAAGAAGGGTAATTATCATTTTTTTTTTAAAAAGTGGGAAAGTGGGTGTCACTCTGCTGTACAGAAGGTTACTATAATATAATTATATACGAAAAATTATTCTGAGCGGAAACGATTTGTCAGCCTAGGAAATTTTATATTATATTTTATATTGTTATTATTAATACAATATCCGGTTAAGTTGAATTTATATTATTTGTTTACTATCATATTTGTATATATTAATATAAATTTCAAAATTTCAACTTTCAAGTAATCACGAACAATGTATTTTAAAATAACACAAAACTAAAATCTTTTTTCTTCGTTTAAATATCTAATTTCGTCCAAAATTGAACATAAAATAACTATAAAAAAAACTGTTTGTATATTTTTAGATTTTTTAGTTATAGAATAAGATTACGTAGAAGTTGTTTTAAATGTTCAATCCTTGGTTATAAAAGTTGAACAATTTTCAATTTTTTAACTACAAAATCATTTTTTAATTTTAAATTTGATACATTTTGTCAAAATTTGAACTTAAAATGCGTAAAAAAAAAATTTGTGCCTGTGTATTTTTAATATTTTTCCACTGGTATATTGTACCTTATATTGTAATATATCAGGAGCCTTGTATTAAATTTTCCGTCGGATCCCAAACGGCTCCCGTCTATTGTTTGCTTATTCCCAAACGGCTCCCGTTGAAAGGTCTAACACTCTAACGAACAGGTAAATTCCGAAACGGCTCCCGTCCAAAAAAAATTCTCAAATCTGTATACTATGTTCGTTCAAAATCCTTACCTAAATTACCAAAATCAACAGAAGAAGCTCAAGATAGTTTTGACAAAATTAATATTACAACTTCGGCAAATTCAATACTACACACCCAAATATTTTTAAGGTTATTGACATACTAATCAATATACAATCTGAAACGCAAATTAAAGCTCGAAGTTATTTTAATACACCTGCAAGAACGAAAAAAAAGGAAGAGTTCGTCGAAAAAATCATTTGCGAGTTTTCGTCAAATAAAATATCACGCCTAGACTATATAAAAAATTGTGCTTAACAAATTTACCAGATATATGATTTTTTTAATATTTTTATTTATACATTTTTTACATTTTTTAAATATTTTTTTAACGTTAAAAATTAAAAATTAAATATTATACTGTACGCTTTTTTTTATATAATTTTAATAATTTACATAGTGTACACCGAGACATTTTTAACCACACCTCTTTTGAGAGAGTCCTAAGTCTGTATAAAGTGGGAAAGAATTTGTGGTGTACAAAACCGGAGTCGTTTGGGAATTGACCTTTTTGTACAACGGGAGCCGATTAGAGAAACGGGAGCCGAATGGGCTACGACCAAATTTTCATGCTTTGTAATCCAACAAATAACATAATATTGACAAAAAAAAAACTAACAACATTTTAAATGTCCGTAAACATCTGAAGATGAGTCAAAATATTTTGAAAATTGTATGATGTATACCTAGAAATAGTGAATATAAACATTCAGTAAAGATCTATCTATGGTAATTTATTTTTAAATTACACCAAAAAATAAAATCGAGTAAAATAATTGATAAAATAAACATATGCTGTAAATTTCAAGTACCTATAAACAGTTATTTGTTTTTTAATTACAACAAAATAAGAAAATCGCTACATGAGAAATCAAAGGAATGAATATCCAATGTTGTAAAAATTTGAATTTCAAAAGCTCATAAAAATTTTATTTGATATTCCGGTAAACATTTTTTTTTCGATAAAGCTGGACTAATATATGACTTTTATTCAGGAATAAAGAGGAATCTTGAATTACATTTTTAAATCTTAGATTTAAAAACAAAAATTATGAGTTCAAAATAATTTGCACATTTTGGTGATTTTTAAGTATTTTGTCAAATTTCAAACTTTAAATGCTTATAAAAAAAGTTGTGACTAAATATTTTAAATAATTTTTAAATTTCATTGTAACAATATATTAGGAGCTTTGTATCGAATTGTCAACCTTTTTGACCCAATAAATACAATTGTATTCACAATTTTTAAAAATAAAAAATAAAAAATTGGAAACTGAAAATGTCCGTAAACAGCTCAAACCAAGTCAAAATATTTTGAAAATTGTATGATGTGCCTATAGAAAATGCTAATATAAACATTCAATAATAATTTCATCCACGGTAATTTGTTTTTAAGTTACATCAAAAACCAAAATCGATTTTTTCAAAAACTTTTTCCAACAAACCGATTTTGCGTAAAAATTCCCGTTTTTCCTTAATTTTTTTTTTGTTTTCCTGGGCGCGTTTAAAATTACTCGGAATTTATTTATTTGACCTCCCCAATGCACCAACTAGATTCACTTTCCCATCAAACAAGATACTGAAGTTGAGAATCGAAACATATTAGTACGACTACTTATCGTGTAAACAGACACAAAACATAAAAAGTAAATAAATAAAAACAATACATCATTGTAAAACCAATACATTCATATAGCTCCTCTCAGAATCTAAAAGAAGTCGGTTTTGGAGTATTGCCCATTGCTAAGAGGATTCCTCTAATAATATAAAAATTTAAGTATTTGAAAATATAGTCCTTAAGTATATATATATATTAGTTAAAAATTCTAAAACACAGACTTTCAAAAATGCATTATTGAAGGAAAACGAGGTGAACATAGAATATGGTAAATTATCCTGTACCTATAGGTACCTATATATTTATCATACGGGCATTTTTAGGAGACACGATCCATCGCACGGAATAGGTACAAGAAGAAAAATTGAGATTTACATATTTATTAAATTTAAACTGTATCGATCTCGTGCTGTGTTCTTTGTTTCCTATACAAAATCGCGGCGCTGATGTCAAAAACTAAATGTTTTATTCAATTTTGACGCATGCCTACACTATATGGCATATGCTAATTCTTTATGATTTGGTACCTATATTATGGAAAGTAGGTATATAGTTCAACAACGGCGATGAACGATAAGAATCACCATTTTTTTTTTTTTACGAACATTGTATTCTTTGTCATCGCGATATATTAGTAGGTACTCAACTAATATTTAATAGGTACAGATATAGTTTTAAATAAATTTACATGTGTCAACACCTATAAACGAAATCATGTATTATATTTTATTATTTTAATATTATACCACATGTCGCCGTCATGGATCTCTTTAGAGTTTGGTTCGGTAGCGTGTCCGTAGTGCAGGACGGCGCCGTTCATGCCTGAACAGCATATATTGTTATAGCCCACGTGCCTGCACCCTCCGACGTAATAAGCGTAATGCAGGAAGTTGGCTTCGCATTGATATTCGTACATGAATGGCTTACACTTTGCCATCACGGACTTGTGAGCATTGCAAGTGACTTTCGTCGCGTACCTCATGACTTCTTTTTCGTAATCAGTTTTGATAACGCGGCTGAAACATAAAAATAACATACAAGTACTTATGGGCTATGATAATGTTTAGATAATAATTCACAATTGAAACAATAAAATGTAATAAGATCCCCTAAACCGACCTAAACTGGTAAACTGTAGGTAGTTCTGACACTCATTGTAAATGTTTATCAATTCAAAGGCCGAAAAAAAATAGGACTAGTATTTCTACAAGTGATTTAATTATGTATAACGTTATAACTTATAATATAATGTTCAGGGAGCATGTCGGCTTAAAAAGTATAGGCAACCAAATTCACAAGTCATTATGATGTTCTATAAAGCGGTAGATACAACACTACAGAGTACAGAGTATAGAATACTACGGTACCTATATTATTATTTAATTTCTATGTTCAAAAGTTTTAAAAGAATACAAGTTACTACATTTTATTAGGTGATTTAAAACAAAATATGATGTCACTAACACTATTCATTATTCGATATCATAAAATAAATATAAAATGCATCATTAACGATAAAATATTTTCTAAACACGTTTAATAATAATATTATGTGTATGAAATGTTTGGGTGTGACATAAATAATTTAAAATTAATAATAAAAGTAATTATTACTATTGGCATTGAATTTATAATATAGATACTACTATAACAAAACTAATATGCTATTACATAGATATTATTAATAGCATGTTTGTATTTTTATTTTTTACTTTGAAATAGTTGCCGTATTATTATTATACTCACAAGCATTTTAATAAGATATACAACGTAGTTTATGGTTATAATCAATAAATTAATGGATTCGAAAAAGAAACGTTTAAGATTTTAAAACTAATACAATTATTTTACGATAAAGCAATTGGCGTCATTCAACTAAATTATTTTGTGATTATATTATACATAAATATATTTTTTTAATAATCAATAATGATAACACGATGAATCATTATAATTTCTATTTTAATAAAAAACGACTTCTGTTATTTCATAATATTCTATTGTACATACATAATAAATAATTTTAAAACAGCGGATACACGTTTCCAAATATTTTCCCTATGTCAATGAACCAACCACGAAGTACATAATATTATACTTACACAGTTACACAAAACAAAAAAATTAAAACTCAGGATTTTTGTGGGCCAGTGAGAATATAGCTGAAAACATTGATAAATTATGACATTTTAAAAACGATTCGCCTAGGTTAAGATTTTAGTGTGTATACTGTATTTTAAAATGTTCTTGATAAGGTATGTACTGCTATCTAATTTGAACAAATTTATCTCAAGTGTACAATTTGTATTTTAATCATAATCCAAATGTTATTTAATAAAACGTATTATACCTATTATACGTATCATTTCGTGTTTCAAGTTTTCAGTAAAAACGATTAATTTATGTTGTGTAAAATGTAGATTTCGTAGCATTAAAAAGAATAAATAAAAAAGATTACTTTGAGTATTCGAAGATTCTGGGTAAACTTTTAAAATAATAGGAAATGACCCAGACGCCTAGATTTAACAACTTGTAAAAATACATCTAAAATCAAAATCTGCGTTCTCTAATGATCTGAAATCTGAATGAACGTTCAGTAGTTAAATTTTTTATATGGTTAATAAACAAGCTTAATCTTTAACCTTAACTTACTTTACAAGGGAACAATAAAAATAAGAATCCATCAGTCCTAAAGGCTAAAATATAAAGTAGAGAAGGATCCTCCCTTCATATTAATTGACTGACATAGAAAAAATATAAACAGTAAAATAAAAGCATATAGAAATAAATTGTATATTTATTTTAAACAAATTTGTTAAATATAAGTTACAATCATAAGCACAACTGAAGGGGGCTGTTGGGGGCTTAGCCCGCCTAAAACTTGTAATAGCCCTCCAAAATAAATTATTCAATTGTTTCTTAAAATAAAAATAAACCTTTAAAAATGCAACTGTATTTCTTATTTTTTTTTTTTGGAAAAAAATGTAATTATTTCATTTATACTTAAAGTTTATAATTATTTTATATTGCCTATTTATGATAAATATGGTAAATATTATTAGCTGTATGCCCGTGCTTATTAGTTTTAACTTTTAAGAAGACGATTTATGTCGGTATATTGATAAGATTATTATACATAATTTTACAGTATAATTTTACCCTGAACTATAACCTACAGACAGTGATGTGGGATAATATGATATAATATAGTTTGTTTTATATCAAGAGCTGAAACAATACATAATATTATGTTAATGGTTCCTTTAAAAAAATAGATACCTACCAACATGGCTACATATTCACTAACTATTGTTTCATAATCATTTTCATGTGGTTGTGAGTAATATTATTGTAGTCTGGGGATTTTTTTTCCGATTACATTTTATTTTTTTTGTATGATTTTTGAGTATTTTTAAGTGAATATTATGGAAGGCATGGGGGCATCGCCACCACGGGTTACTTTTCACGAAATATCAGGTGGAGGTTACAGCCCCCCCCCCCCCCACCATTTAAGTCCTAGTTGCGCCACTGGTTATAACTAAACAAATAATGAATAAACGTGATATCTTTTCAACTCGTGTCTACAAGTCTGAATCGTATCTAATATTGGTATTAAATCGTATGGATACATAGAAACGTCGTTGATGATCAGATAATAAAATAAAATCATATTATAATCAATCAATTTATATATTTTTTTTTTCTTATGCTATACGTATACGGTAGGTATGCCTAAGTGGCTAAGTATATTGTTGGTAGTATAATATGTTAACGGTTTTGGACTTTAGTTTATAATTTACGGGTGCTAAGTCTCAGTAAGTACCACTTCCCCAATTGAGCTAAAAATTTAACATTTTTAAATGGCTAGTCCTATTATAAGAGCTGTCCATGAATCTATAGTTATAGTATTACATTCCTATAGGAATGCAGGAAAAAACACTAAATCAGTATACTCTGTATACTACAGCGAACCCAGCAGTAAGCACCATCACACTCAGAGAATTTTTTTCGATTTTAATGATATTCTATCCTAGCTGTCTTATGTTTATTCCGGCCGTTTTCCTATTCGAAAAGTTTAAATAAATTCGTAAACACTAACATTGGGCGAGACGAACAACAATCGTTGGCCACTCTACCGGAATTTATTAGATATTTATTAATAGAATGGACGTCAGAAGACAAATATTGTACACACGAACGACAATATGGCATGTTATTACTCGCAAACGTGTATTGAAACAAAAGGCACACGACAGTTATTGTACATTATGGCAATATGGCGTGTTCAATACACAACAATATTTTTAGAACGTTCATCAAGAGACGTCCGAGTCAAAAAATAAAGATTCGTGGCACTAAATTGTATTTAAAATCCCTTAGGTAGAAAGGTGGTGATATCTAGCGGTAAAATTGTAATCATAGCACTGAATTTTCAACTAAACCTGACGTCAATACCACTAATACCATCACTAACCGCGATTGGTAACAATATTTAGTGTTATAACCATATCATCTATTATCAATTTTCAGTTTCCTGATTTATGATTTGCATTTTGCAGTCAAAAATCAGAACTCAGTTTATAATAATAACATTTTTAATAATTATTTATATACCTATATATTTTCAACATATTTAATAGCATAGTGTTAATATACATTTTACTAAATTTTAATAAAATATAAAATAGTCTTATAAAAATGTTTGTTTTTCTGGTATTTGTTTAGTTCTATGAATATTGAAGTTTGTGAAATATATCAAATATGTCAAGAATTGTAATCCAGCAATTATGTTTTAACAGAGTGAACTATTTAAATGCATTAAAAGCTATAAATATCACACAATACAGGTATAAAGCTGACAGATTTGGACATACGTTTGCGTTCATTCAAGAAGGAGCTGAAATAAGGGAACTACCACTGATTGTACGTAATGTATGTAGTAACGAAATTTGCTGTAATGAAGAATGTACTGGAACTGGAGAAACAGAAATTAATAATGATGAACTAGTCAACAAATTAAATAATCTAAAGAATGAAACAGATCGCAAAAAAGCTGATGAAGAAATTGTAGATGTTATTCGGGGCTTTAAAAAATGTTCCTCGGTAAAATCCCTAGTGGATCTACTAGAAATAGTAATGCTTGATGAGATAACTCCAGCGGTAGCGTTATGTGCTCTGAAAAAAATAGTAGAACTAGAGAACTTTAAATTTCATGTAGCAACAAATAAATTATCATCATTCTTAGATACCAAACCAAATATAGATTATACCAAAACACCAATATTAGAAAAACTGCTGGAAATTATTATGAAAGGAGATAATAACTCTGCTGTTGTTGGAACACTAGAATTAATACCTATCGATCGTGTTCGAGTATTGCCATTAGACACATTTAAAAATAAAATATCTGAAGAAATTTTATGCCGAGTGACCGAAAATAAACTGAATATAGATAATTTATGTAGATCAATCGATGCATTTTCTAAATTAAATGAAGTCAAGACCGCAGACCAACTTTGGATTGGAATAATGGAAAAATCTGATCAAATAAATGAAAAAAATGTAATTCAAGTTTTCAGAATTTTACACCTGTTAAAGAAAAGTAGAAAAACCATTATGAACCTGTTAGAGAGACGTTTAAAGCACTTTTGGCATCATCTCTGTACTAATGACTTAATAGAAATGTTGTATATAATACGATTAACAAAGTCCAATTCAAATATTATCCTAAAGACTATATCCAGGTGGATTAATACAAACATACACACAATGAGTGAAAATAATCTAACTTCAATTGTAAATGAGTTAAATAATTCTAACTATGTAGATATTGGTATTGTAAGAGCATTAGAACGCTATATAAAAGCCAAACACAGTACCATAAACAGTCCTTTATTAATGGTAGAAATTATGAACTACTGTTCAAAGTTTAATGTACGTTCAGAAAATATTTTTGAAGGATGTGCCAAATACATAATTCAGTTCGGTTCCAATATTACTCCTTCTCAATTTAGAGATTTGTTTTGGCCATTTGGCCAGCTCAACTACAAACCTAAATCAGCTTTAGAGTTTTGGATAAAAGTGGAAAGTATAATGAATAAAGAGTTTCATAACTTAAAGACACATGAAACAATAGATATATTATTGTCTTGTGTTTATTTAGAGAAACAGCCATTGAACTTTGTCCACAGGGTATTTAATACTTCTTTTTTACATAATTTATACGACGGAGGAGGTAATAATAACTACACAAAAACAAAATTAAAAATTATCGACCAGTGTATGACATTAGAGTGTGATCACTATCGAGGGCCAGTGTTACCCAGAGACAAATTTGCAAAGAGCATTTGGTGCGACTATAGAATAAAACGACTCTTAAAAGAAATCAATAGTACCCTTGAAAATACTTTCCAAGGCTACAAAATTTCTTATTCGACCATTTTAAGCCAACTACCACTTATGAGTATTTACATAATTGATGCTTTAGTACACCCAGTTAAATTTGAACTTAACAGTAGATACATTAATTTCAAGAAACATCCTGGTCTATGCACTGTGATTTTAGTTCATTTGCCTGAACACTATTGCTGGGAAAAAGAACACTTAACTGGTATTGAAACCACTAGAATAAGACATTTTCGAAAAATTGGATTAAATGTCATGTCCATCAACTACAAAAAAATATTAGAACTCAAGTACCCTGCTGAACTGACCGAATATATTAACAATAGTTATAAAAGTATGTTAGCTCCTTGTTAATTTAATAAAGAGACTGTGTATACGATGTAATAATTTTCATTTACTTACCAATCTGCAATGATTTTATGTAATATTTTGTTGTCCAATGTAAACCTTAATTTTAAAAAAATATTGTAATTAGTATGTATATTATAATGTTTTATTTTGGGGCCTAGTGTGGCTCGGTAGTTGGCCTCAATCACTAACGTCTTCTGAGGTCAAGCATCGACCGACGTCACTAATTCTTGGATGGATGACCATCCGGGGTTTTAGTGACGAGGAGCCTCGCCCTACATACACGTGTTCCTCAACCAACTGTAACCACACTACAAAATGCTAATGGCCATAGTTGCCATGCTTAATATCAATAAAAAATAAAATAAAATAAAAATGTATTTACTGATTTCATTTTACCTGTCTATTCTTCAAATGTGCTTCTTTACATGTCATATCACTATCAGTGTTTTTTCCATACTAAAAAAAACAAGTATTGTTTAAATTTAACTTAAAAAAAGTAGGTAAAGCTTTTCTATATATGAGATTCAGAGGTGGTCTCTGTAATGGATGTGTTAAATATTGAATTCACTCATATTTAAAATCATTGTATACGAAATCAATTCTGAGCGAAGACAGTTTGTTAGATTGTATTACTAAGTGTATTTTATTTTATTATTTATAATACAGTAAGCTGCATTTATGTTTTTGAAGACATTTTATTTGAGAATATCATTATGTGTATAAAATATAATAATATATTTTAAAAGTTTCATGTATCCTGAATATTTGTAAATTATAAAAAAAATAACTAATTACATAACTCTCCTTTAAAATAGCTAATTTTGTCTAAATTTTAACTTAAATGTCTATAATAAAAAACTATGTTTATAAATGTTTAATATTAATATTGAATACTAAGAGAAACCTTGTTATACATTTTAATTTCTTAACTATAAAATTAAAAATGTATACATTTTTAAGTTTTAACTATAAAATAATTTGCAAATTTTTAATTTATACAAGCATCATAATTCATAATAAAGAGTAAAAATAATTTTTAATTTGACCAATTTTGTCAACATTTGAAATTTCAATGCTTATAAAAAAAAATTGTGCCCATGTATTTTTAATATTTATAAGCTGCTATTGTAACAACTTAGGTTATAGGAAACCTTGTATCGTTGTATTGATTTTTCCAGCTTTTTGACCCAACGAAAAAATTTATATTATATAACTTCTAAAGTAATTATTAATTAATAATATATTAATTCTACTCTAGAATACTTTTTTATAACTTATACGTTATAAGTATAAAATGTTATCCAAATAGCAAATTGATGGTAATGTACATATGTATAATATATTACATATTACACAATACACCTAAACCTATTTAAGTTTTTTATTAAGTGGGTAACAAATATTTAGAAAGCAAATTGTCAATAATTGTATTTACACCTAAAAATAATAATTTGTTAAAATAATTCCTTTTTATGGGATAACCTGTTTGTCCCAAAACCTGAACTTAGTTTGCGACATCTTATACTTGGTACAAGACACAAAGTAATGAGATCGAAGAATGTGGAGTATTTTAGGGGGGGTCAACCCCCCACCCATCATAGGGTGTCTATATTTGCAGAAGTTTTCGGAATCCTAACACTAAGGCCTTTTAAAAGGAGGCGGGGTGGGGCTACTGAGAAACATCATATCTCCCCACAGGCCCAAAAGACCAAACACATAAATACGCACTGATCGACATCTTAACATCAGTAACTTTTGTATATCGTATCATAAGGGTTAAAAGCTTAAGCAGCTAATATTCATACACTCATATGGTCATATAGATAGCCGATAGGTTCGGTACGACACTACGACTTACATTTTACGTGTAGCATATAGCCACATATTGATGAATAGCGAGATTATATATTATAGGTACGCATAAACTCACTCTTGACGTTTTCAACACAGAAATATTGTTATCCATTTGTTAGTAAATTAGAGCTAAGGAGTGCTAGAAGTGCTCTAAAAATTGTTTACAATCATATTATGAATCAATTTAAAATCTAGAGTTTAATACAGAGGTAGGTTTATTTATTTATTGATTTCACTACGGTACCCGTAAATTAAAACTGTAGAATGATTCAGCAAATCAATTAAATTTATGTTACCACACATTTTAATGATGTCAATTTTGGTGATTTTATTGTAATTCTGCAAAATATAAATGTATTTCCTGATATCCCCTCAAAATTATTTTCTTTAATATAAATAAAATTGTAGAAATAATAATATTTTAATTGTCAATAGAATTTTTTTTATCTACCATTTAGTGCATATGAATGTATATTGCTTAAGAGTAAAGACTAAGGTTTAATATATATATATATTTATATATATACAATAAATAGGTAATACTATTTAGAAAACATGAAAATCTAATACAATCTCAAAATTTATATTTTAGCTTACGATTTTTAATTTTTTTTTAATGATATATACCCTGTTCAAAATAAGAAGCGACCTGATTTACGCTTGAAAACCGGTTTTACTAGTGGCCGCCTGAATCGCTTCTTAAAATGAACAGACTATAGTTAAAATTAAACATTTCTTACAATTTAAAAATTGTAAGCTAAAATATAATTATTAAGATTTAAGGATTCGATAAAGCAATTTTTAAAGATTTATTTTAATGGCGTTTGTAGCTGTAGGTTTGATGATTTTATACATATTTTCATGTAGTATAATATTCATTATTCACATGTCATGGAATCTATTTATCTATAACCAGTACAACACTACATAGACTGCATTCAATAACTGTTCAAAATTGTTTAACTTGTTTATCACTGCCTTACGGTTTTTAAACGCAATACGTCAATTATAAATATCTAAATGACATTTAATTATTAGAGTTATCTCTAAACTAATTATTGGAGTACGCATTATTGATAAATGTATAACGATAGATCATTAAAACACATTCAACAAATATTGCATACACACAGTCACACAGATCTTGGATTGTGAAAGAAATCGAAATTAGGACATATAAATCGTTAGTCCCCGGGGGTAAATAACGAACAATGTAAATAAATTGTTATCGTTAACGCCACTTTTGTAACTCGTGTGTTGTGGTTATTATATTAAAGCCAATGGGGAAAAGGTGATAATGATTGTGTCATACATACTTCTATATTGGTAAACAGTTATGGCAGAAATATTAGTAAACAATTTATATTTAATCGCCAAATAACATAATTTATGCTATGCGCAGCGTGTATGATGAGTGGTATGACACATTAATAATAAAACGATAATTTAGTTAAGACAATAAAGAAAACTGGCACTAGGGTCTAAGACTACATTATCATCAATGTGCTCATCAATGCCTATGTTAAATATATTTATACAAATTACAAGAAGTACCCATAGAAAATAAATAGTACCTACTACCTACTCAGTAAATATTTCAAATATTTATATAGTAACTATAATAATATAGGTTCATATTATTATTATATTGCCTATTATACTTGTCAATCGCATCGGACAATATTAACGTTCATAAAATATATACCCTGCTTGGTATTTTAATAATTTGAAATTTCCCATCATATCATTAACAATAATATAATATATTAACATATTGTAATAGAACTTATTCACAAGTTATTTTTGTACTTGATTTACCAAGAAGTAGGTTGGTTCTCTACGTGAATAATAAACTGGAAACAATGCTGAATGATGAATGCGTTATGTTATATTATTATGCAAATATAGATACCATTTATTATTATTTGTTTTCTATGTTTTAATTTTTATTAATACAATAATACAAACTACTAATACAATTAATTAACGACACCTACACACCTAAATATAGTATATTATATGTAATAGACATAATGCAGTGGTAGTCAAACGGTGGGAAGGGATGAGAAGAGACAGACCAAAATTATTTTATTACCGATAACAATAATTTAAAAAAAAATCAAATGTAAAATTTCTATAAATAGCTCAAAAATAGTTAAAATATTTTTAACATCTTTTGATACCATAGAAAATGATATAACAACTATTTGTTGAAAAAATTTTAAGTAGTTTGAGTTCCACTAAAAAACACAAATAAATATTAGATACCAAAAATTAGTTTTGCGTAGGGTAAAAACTTCCAATTTTTAGAATTATTTTTAAAAATACTGGGAATTTTCAATTCTGAACCCTCAAAAGTACAAACTGGATTCAATTTCCTATCAAAAACCTAAACTAACATCAAAAATCTAAAAATATCAATAAAATTTTATTTGTTGGTTAAAAAGCTTGAAAATTTAATAGTAGGATCCTAGTAATTTTTTCAAAGGCAGATGAAAAATATTAAAAATCCTTAGTCCCAGTTTTTTTTTTTTTAAGCATTTAAAGTTCAAAAATTGACAAAATATCGCCGTTCCGGTAGAACAATGACGCAACTCCAAAATTTTTTATAAATGGCCTTAATGCTACAATGAGTTTAAATATAGCGTACGCATAATGTAGAAAAACGACGGAACTGTAGTTGTATTTTAGACCTCCAGAGGGCAATTGCGTCGTTGTGGAATTATCAGTTTGTACACTCATAAATAATTAACAATTTAGTTTTTTGGGTTTCCTGTAAAATTGCAATTATTGCAGTTGCGTCATTGTTCTACCGGGACGGCGATATGGAAAAATCACGAAAATTAGCAAATTATTTTGGGTTAAGAATTCATAAAACTTTTTCTTTTTAAATCTAAGATTTTAAAATGTAATACAAGATTCCTTATAAGATTATCTACCTATATCAAAAAAAAAAAAAAAATGTCAATAAGAAAGTCAAATTAAATTAATTAAATATTTATGAGCGTTTGAAATTCAAATTTTTACAACATAGGATATTCACTCAATTTCTCATGTAGTGATTTCTTTATTTTGTTGTAATTCAAAAACGAATAACTGTAGATACATGAAAATTTCACTGAATATTTATATTAGCATTTCCTGTACACCCTACAATTTTTGAAAATATTTTGACCTTTTTTTGAGCTGTTTACGGACAATTACAAGATTTCAATTTTTTAGTTTTTTCTCTTCTATTACTATCAATAAGTTTTATCTGTTGGGCCAAAAAGTGTATAAATGTAATACAAGGCTCCTGATATATTGTTACAATATCAGTTGAAAAATATTAAAAAATACATGGGCACAATTTTTTTTTTATCAGACACTTAAAGATCAAATTTTGACAAAATTTATCAAATTTAAAATTGAATAATTATTTTAGTAAAAATTTATAAAATGTTCAACTTTATATCTAAGGATTGACAATTAAAACAAGATTTCACGTAAGTAGTTACTTCTGTTACCGAAAAATCTAAAAATACATACATGAGCAAATTTTATTTTTATAGTCTTTTAAGGTCAAATTTGGACGAAATTACATAATAACAAACCTAAGAATAACTATTTTAGTTATTTTGTTGTGATTGTATATATTATTCGGGGTACTTGAAACTTCTAAAGTATACTACTATATCTATGAGAGTATCAGGTTTGGTGGTAGTGTACCTAATGGATATTGTGATATAATTAATTTGTAATTCATTATAGGTCAATTTTTTTTAATACCATAGATAAGTATATAATATGTCTTATACCTAGAAGGACATGCCGTCTCCGCTCAGAATCGTTTTTTCTTATACAATGATATAATATCATTGAATTCAAATGTAATACCATCCATTATACAGTGACCCACTTGTAACCTACTGTACAGCAGAGCACATTTTTTTCTACTATTTTTCGTGTAGGTACTGTAAAGTGTAAAATCAATACAATCATCGCTCCACTCAGATTCTAAAATCAGCCAACCCCCACCCACCCACTACCAACCATTCACCACGTTAAAATCATTTGACCCCCACTAGTATAAATTATATAGGAACATACGATTATATATTATGAATTATGATACATAAATATTAATCGTGTTCTATGGAAAGGTTAAATTAAAATTGTTTTACTTACCAAAGTCAATATCAGTGAAGGTTTCAATGCATTCAGTGTTTCACCAAGCTAATAAAACATATCAGACGAGCAATTATTATAATTTTAAACAACCATACAAATATATGTGTGTGTGCTTAAAATGTTTGAAAAATAAATCAGTACAAAACAAAATTATCAGCGCAAACAATATTCTTTTTTATCTATAAATTATAATTGTCTTTAAAATAATTCAATCACATTCTATTACAGTAAGTTATTAAATTGATATAAATTGTATTAATTTTTATTACTGTGTTATACCGATCATTGATCAAATAATCAATACGTTAATTAAATATTTATTAGAAAACTATTTCAATTTCTATTAAAATGTATATTGGTACTTCAATAAACTTTAATTTCTTAAACTTTATGATAACTTTATGTCAATATAGTAAGCATATCAAACATCAAAGCATTTATAATATTATTATTCAAAAATGGAAACGATTTGGATCAAGAATATTGTTAAACATGGTTAAATCTTACTATAGGAATGAGATATTTAAAAATACTTAGATACATCATAAATCATTTAGTTGAAGAATTGTAACAACTAAATTATTTTTTACATTCGAAATATTATAAAATCTCACGTAACCATATTATTGATTTTAAATATTTGGGATTATATTATTATTTATTTTATTATTAATATTACTAGCTGACCAATAGAAACCAAATAATAAATACTAATTTATTAATATTTAATTATTTCTCTTATAACCAATATGGAAAAATGTCCACCGTAAATCCTAAATCCCCGCACCTGTTGGGGGTAGGAGGATGAAAAATACTTAACTACCTATCCTCATACCTAACAAATATAAAAAAATGTCATTAAAATCGGTCAAGCCGTTACGAGGAGTTCGTACATTAACACCGTGACACGAGATTTTTATATATTAGATTATATTATGTGGTATTACTGGTTCATCTCCTATTATTACGTAGGTACCTAATTATTATTTACTTAAAGTGTCTATACAATGTCAACAATTGACTACAATTTTTAAAAAGTATAAACCATATTCAGAAACAATAATCTAAACAACTTCACTAATCTCGGAAAGTTTAAAATATTATGTATTTCACAAAAAAATACTTCAGATAAAATAGTTTATAACACGAACTCCTATATAATTTCCTAAGTGACAATTTATATAATGTTTTAATTTTTTTTTCTTTTTTGATAATTTTCTATATTATGACAAACAAAATCTACAACTAAACAGTGATGCAATAAAAAAACGGCTCACATAGCCATGTAGGCACGCGTTATAAGTTATAACATATTGGATAGGAAAAGCAGGGATGTATCTAATGAAAGGCACTTGCAACTTGCCTGATGTGACGTAATATTTTAAATAGCGATAATATTCCCCTTTTTAATTACTGTGCCTATAGAACCATACTAACTAAACTTGGCGGAAATATATTTGTTTTAAATTATTTGTAATAATAATAATAATAATAATAATTTCAGCGGTTAAAAAATCACGAAAATGTTTTGTGTATAATTAAATGTAGCACACATTAATTTTTGGGGGAAGCCTCAAGCCTGCACATTTTTTAAGAGGTTTAAGCACTTTAGTATCCCTGATATAATGTCCCAAACAGTGGCTTTTTTTAGCCTACCTATACAAGCGCCAACATGGTAAGTGCACGGCTGAGGCAAAGCACACTTGCCTATAATACGTATACCAAAATATATGATTTAAAAGCCTACTCCAATTCTCCGCAGCTACCATTGATCATATTATTATAATATTTTTTGTCAATGTCACTCAGCGTTGCTTGTCGGACAGTACGTTAAAAACACGACACAGTTGGGCATCCGTCCTAGAAAATAACATTAGCATGATGCCATGATATATATCTATACTGTATAGAGGTGCTATTTTCGTATGTCGATCGTCAATGCGTTTATGACGCGTCTATCGTATAAAAGCCAATGCATCAAGTTTAACCACAAATCACAATAAATACATTAACCTCAAATTCTGTCTTAAAAATATACAAATTACAGTAATAGGTAGGTACTAGGTAGGAATAACATTCGATAATATATTTAAATGGATTAAGTACATATCAAAAAAAAAAATGTAAGGTGCACCTATAAGACTAAAATGAATATCATCAAAACTCTTATGCTAAGCAATAACTTCAAAAATATGAATGTTAAATTGAAACCAACAGTTTAAATTTTGTTGGCGATACTGCAGACTGCTCTGTAAATACAATAATTACTAGAAATAAAAACGGTAACTCCAGATGACTATATAGATCGCTGAAGTACTGCTTTTTGTTCTAGAATTTCGACATACTACTTATTCACTTCTGATCTTAATGAATTTATGTACATATCGCCTTCTTTGTTATTTTATTATCTGTATTAATTTCTAATGAGAAAAACCTTATTAATGGAATCGATAGGGAATTAAAATATCTATCGATTATCGATAGACACCAAAAAATCAATTTTGACAAAAATGGAGTTACTGCTTAGTGACTTATGACGGCAAATCTACACCACACATGTGGAGCTGATAAAAAATTAACGTTAAATATATATAAGTCTTTAATTTGAATCCTTAATCAACTTTGGAATTTGGATCACAAATTTACAATTACAACACATCCCGTCATCCCATACCAGATGGCAGACACCTCAAATCTTTATACCCAATACAACATAAAGGTATTTTTCCATCAATAGGGGCTTCAGAACAAGCCCCAAAAAAAGAATTGTATGGTATGCATGCATAAGAAATACCTCTCAAACTTATAAGAGACAAAAATACACTGTATAATAAACTGTATGGCATAACGAAAATCCGTTCGAAAAAAAAAAGTTGTAATTAGTCTACAAAGTAAAAACATATCTATGTTAAAAAAAAATTAGGTACCTACTGATAAAAATATACAGACATTGAGTACTAGAGTAAAATATTTAAGTTAAATGTTTTTCACATTTAACCGTAGACATTTTTACATTTTTCCCATAATAGAATGTCTTGACAATCCTATAATGATATTTCGCGCAAGTGCTTTGAGGCTACTAATAGTTTAATTCAGCCAGAAGACGATTCAGTTGGCGTACCTACTTTCGATAAAAATAAAGAAACTTATAGTTTTATAACTATTATTATTTATTACCGTGTCTGCGTACGACGCGTAGTTGACCTTATACCGACATTTGTATTCATCTAAGCTCAACGGTTTGCCCAACCACACTGTGTGCGCCTCTTCAACTCTCGGGAAAAACAAATGAGCTTCGCCGCTGGATACTTGTATTAGACCGTAACAATCAGGTTCGCTGACCCCGAAAGTCCAATGGAAGTAGGGCTCCTAAAATAAGCATAAAGGCGTTATACAAATGGACAGCGATAATAATATGTTATTATATAAGTATAATTTCTTATTCGAGAGGTATACTAGGGTTGGCATGAAAAAGCCAAGTTTTTGAATTACAAATTACAACAGAAAATAAAATTTAGTTCGTTCAAAACTAATTTTACATACAAGTTCCCAATTTCCAAATTTCTTATGTAGCGATTTGTTATTTTGCTGTGATTCAAAAACGAATAGCTGTAGGTAGATGAAAATTTCACGGAATGTTTTTATTTTCATTTTCTATACATGATATAATTTTGAAAATATTTTGACTGTTTTGAGCTTTTTACAGACATTGTCAGTTTTTAATTTTTTTTAGTTTTTTTTCTATAAATAAAAATACAATTTTATTTGTTGGGTAAAAAAGCGTGAAAATTTAATACAAGGCTCCTAATATATTGTTACAATAGAAGTTGAAAAATATTAAAAATACATGGGCACAAATTTTTTTTACAAGCATTTAAAGTTTGAATTTTGACAAAATTTAATAATTTTTTATAATTATTTTGAAGTTAAAAATTTATAAAATGTACAACTTTTATAGCTAAGGATTGAAAATTTAAAACAAGGTTCCATATAAATAGGTTATATATAAATTACTTTATTCACGATAATATCATCAAATATACTTAGTTATATCATAGGCTAACTGACCGTCTTACCTCAGAATCGTTTTTCTTATACAATGATATTATATCATTGAATTCAAATTTAACACCATCCACTTGTAACCTATTGTACAGCAGGGCGACACCCACTTGCCCACTTTTTTAGTATTTTAAACGCATATTATTGATTTTTAATTGCATAATAACTCAATGTTATGTAGGCTTAGTATACAATTAGAGCGTTAAGTTATAGCAATATATATTGCGTTATGATACATATTACCTATAGTATTGTTTTTGACAAATTATAAATAGGTGTCATTACCTATTTTAAAAAATAATTAACAGTGTCGTATTCGTATAATATATTATATTATGCATTAATGCATTATACACGTTTTCTATGTGCGTCAGCAAACGTAGTTATTGTGTAACACTGAAATATAATTAATGCATTATACAAACATTATGTTTCTTTAAATAAGTATTGAAACTATATTACCTATATCAATTAGTCTCAAATCCCGCCCATCTCTACACGTTTTTTAGGCTGATAGCGGTTTATACCAACGTAAACAAAAATCATATACATATATACCCATAAATATAAACCTTGAATTTCCACACGTAGACAACTTATAATTCAGCCAATTCATAAACGTTTGTATACATTCTAGCTACCACATATATAATCATAATCATCGCCGAATGGACTTTAGTGATTTAATGTTGTTGTTGTTGTTGTTGTTGTTGTTGTATTTACATTGTTTATATAGGTATTTGAGTAATTAAATATTGTATGTATGATACATGTGTTTATCGCATAAATCATACTATAGAATTTACAACAGTTAATATTATTGGTATGAAAATACATTAGGTACCTACCTATTTCCTATATTTTTCATATACATTGCGTTACTTATGCAGCGTAAGCTGTAAGGGTATTTATAGTATTGTCAAGCAATAAGCAGAGTATAGTGGTAGAGCCGTAGAGGGATAGTATCTACCCCTCCAATCATCCCCACAAACAAAAATAAAAAAATATTGGTCTTCTACAACACTCACCAAAACTTTAAATACCAATTACGTACTTTTTCGAAATTCAATACAAACTATACAGTAAACAAAAAAAAAATACATAAAAATAAAACGTTCAGACTTTTCGAGATAATGAGTGTTTACGGTTTAAAAAAAATCACCTACTTATATGGCTATATGAAATAATTAACATAAATGTTATTATTCATAAATTATAATTATACAATTTAACGATTTCCTAGAGCCTAAAATCTACAATAGCTAAAGCAAATTCCATTCTTAAAAAACCTAATACCTATTCTAAAAAAAAAATTATAGCTTTTTATATTGATATTTGATTTAGTGAATTTATGATTCATTTTGATATTAAAAATGTAACATCAATCAATGATGAATGATGATTCACTATTTTTAACATTGTCAACAATCATTAGTCATAACTCATAACTATAATTTACATAATATGCATACATTTTTAACATATGACAGAAAAAGGTAAATCTATATAAATATTATCAATAAAAATAATATTAATCCAATATATGAACTTTTAACTGCTATAAAATAAAAAGTACCTTTTGAAATTATTAAGGAAAAATTTAATTACGTAGTATACACATAATGCCGAGTTCCTGACACATGCCTCATTAAACATCGAAGTTGCTTATCAGTCTTGTCATTTATTTTACTTCAAGATACTTATAAGTTTTAGTATTTATATTTAAGACTATAAAATACAAATTGTTTTTATCTTTTTTTATATCTCTTTTATATACTTTATTAAAATATAAAATAACGTAATAATATACAATAATACAAATATTATTGAGTAACGGCAAGAAGGGAAGCTAACCAATAATAGAACATTCAGTACCATAAGTTAAGGTATTTGGATTATAGCACAGGAGCAAGAATATGCTAACACCAATTTTTTTTGAGACAGGGAGAAGGGTTATCTGGAATTTTAATTGGAATATTAAAATAGTAAAACAGTATATTATTCATTTTGTATTCATTGGTAGTATTTCTTGTTTTGTTTTACAGTTTTGATATTTAAAATTTGTGCTATTTTTATATAATCAACAAACTTCTATATAATTGTTCGAGAGTTAACATTTTAAGCATTTTGAATAGGTCAAAAATATTATCAAAAATTATGTTCATAATGTATTGTAATATTATCTATATTGCATTAAGAGGTACCAAGGTATTTTTGTAAGCTGACCCCACACAATTAGACTATAATATTTCAATATAGATTGTACTATAATATAGATATATTATTCTTATGCTATCAGTATCTAAAATATTTCAGAATTTCTTGAATATATTATGTATAAAAGCACTTTCTGGTAACTATTATTACACTTTTAATATGTTCTAATATGGTACTCATTTTAGATGTTGGTAGAATATGAATATAATTCCTAAATATTTAGTGGGGTTATGTGTGATTATAGAATAATTTCCTTTAGAAAATGTGTATTAGTTAAGAAAAATGCAATAAATACAGATTTATTATTATTTATGACAAACTATTTTTTGAATAACAATTATTTACTGTTGCTAATTTTAAATTCTAAGCAGAACGATGGATGTATTGATTTTACAATGATGTGTGTTCGTTATTTTTTTTTTTGTGTCTGTCATCACCTTTTATAACAGTATAAGTGCTTAGATTGTCTGTAACAGTATATTCTCTGATAGGAAAGTGAATCTAGTTGGTACTTTGGGGGGGTCAAAAGTAAAAATTATCCAGTAGTTTTCAAAAGCGCAGTGAAAAACAAAAGAAAAATTAAGGAAAAACGAGAATTTTTAGGCAAAATCGATTTTAGTTTTTTGTGCAACTCTAAAACAAATGACCATAAATACGTGACTGAATGTTTATAATCACATTTTCTTTACATGATATAATTTTCAAAATATTTTGAGCTGTTTACGGACATTTTCAGTTTCCAAATTTTTTAGTTTTTTATTCTATAAATATCAATAGAGTTTTATTTGTTGGGTAAAAAGCTTGAAAATTTAATAGAAGGCTCCTAATATATTGTTTCAAAAACAGATGAAAAATATTAAAAATCCAATCACGTTTTTTTTTAAGCAATTTATTAAAGTTCAACTATTGACAAAATACATAAAATTCAAGAAAATGTGCAAATTATTATTGAGTTAGAAAATCATAAAAATGTTTATATATAAATTTTAAATCTAAGATTTGAAAATATAATACAAGATTCTTTATAAGTTTGTTTACCTTTATCAAAAAAAAAAATGTCTACAAGCAAACCAAATTAAATTATTATGAGTCTTTGAAGTTCATATTTTTACAAGATTGGATATTCACTCGATTTCTCATATAGCGATTTTGTTGTAATTCAAAAAAGAATAACTGTGGATACATTAAAATTTCACTGAATGTTTTTATTTTATTTTTCTATATACCACACAATAAATATTTTGACTCTTTTTGAGCTGTTTACAGACATTGTCAGTTAACAATTTTTTTCTTTTTTTTTCTTTAATTGTCAATAACATTTTATTTGTAGAGTAAATATGCGTGAAAATTGAATACAAGGCTCCTGATAGATTATTTCAAAAGAAGTTGAAAAATATTACAAATACATGGGCACAATGGAATTTAAAATGGATTGAAGTGTATAATTCTAGTATTTAATATCTCTTTTTAATTTTTAAATGGGAACCCAGAGTAAACAAGTCTTTTATTTAAGATGGGCTAAGATTTTAGCCAAGATACGACTTGATTTGGTGTACATTGAGAGAAATGGAGTGAAATCAACATGTAGAAACATAATTATTATCTGCATTCATTTATTTATTTTTATATCTATACATTTTTAGGAACTTTTCCACTTTACAGGAAACCACTTTTTTTTTTGGTCATTTTTAGGAGGACCAAAAATGTTGGTTAAATCAGAATTAGTTTCAAAGTTATAGCAATTTGAAGTTTTAAAGTATGACAAGTAGTCACTCCCTTGCCTACCGTCAATTTTCGTCAAACTCTAGGTCTTACAGACTTGCACGATGGCTGACTAAACCGCCAATGGACCTCACTTTCCACCTCACCCAGGTACTCACAGCTCACGGCTGCTTCAGGAGCTACCTCGCTAGATTCAACCGGGCAGACGACAGCTACTGCACCTACTGCATGCACACAGACGACACCGCCGAACACACGCTGTTCGTCTGCCCGAGGTGGGTAGATGAGCGCTCCACTATGGTCAGTCTTCTCCGCCGACCCCCCCACGCCGGTGACGTTGAGGAAATTCTCTGCGGCCCCCGCAATGAAGAGTTACCAGACGACCTGGCGGCGCGAAAGAGAATACTCGATCAGGCGAGAACGAACCGCCGGGAATTTACCACCATGGTCGAATCGATCATGGCCGAAAAGGAGGAAGACGAACGGGACGAACAGCGATGAAGGACGGACCGAAGACGCCCTCCGCAGTCGCAACAGCGACACGTCGGAGGTGTCACCGACCACCGCTCCTTCATCCCCACCCCCCTGTGACACCACGGGAGGGTAAGGCGATCACGGCATCGCAGGACGAACGGGCACCCCAGGGCGGCGGACTCCGGTCGGCCCGCCAAGACGGGCACGCACGGGACTCCAAGGGCGGCGGACTCCGGTCGGCCCGCTAAGACCAGGTACAGAACAACCACACCCAAAATGTAGATGAAGTGTATAAACTGTAATGTAAGGGGGGTAAGTCGGGGAATTGTCCCGTCTACCTCCCCCGTATGTATAAATTTTGATATTTCAATAAACGATGGCGGCGCCGCGGCAGTAATGCGAAAGCAATTCCCGCGGCGCCGTCGGTTAAAACTGAAAAAAAAAAAAAAAAAAAAAAAAAGGTCTTACAGACTTATATTTATACTCTTATTATATTACTAGTATATTAGTAGTTTCAAATTAAAACTAAATTATAGTTTTTTTTTATACATACAACTTAATAATATGCGGGCAATCTCAAATGTTACTTTATGTGACTTGAGGGAATTAAACTTTTGTTCTTAATTCTTAAAATACTAATTGCTACTATACTATAGAAAATATTTAATGCTGTAACTCCACAAATAAATGAATAACTAGCTACATATTTAAAATTAGATATGCCCATAAATGCTGCCACTTGAAATCAGGATTTAAATAATCTAAACAATTTTAAAATTATAGATTAATACCTACCTATTATTTGATTAAGAATAGATAAAACAAGTTTTAACATGTTAACCTTAAATATAATTTTTTAATAGCTTATTTGAAATTTTACAACCTTTTTTTAACCAATTTATGTAACTAATATTATATACTCAAATTAATAATCTTAATTCAGTTGTATTAAATCAAAAAATTAAACACAGGTATATTACAAAATATAATAACAGTATTAGTACCTATAGGCTATAGTTGAATGTATATAGTTATTATACTCTAATTGAAATATTATTCTTATACCTACTGTTAATATTGTTGTAAGCAAAAGAAACAACAATTTCATTATTCAATGATCCCATGGAAAAAAATTTAAAAATTAATTATACGTCAAACAATATTAACTTGCCTGTCTAAATATATAATCCACATCAGTACAATAATGGGATATATGTGATCCACCTTGTAATAGTACATAAGCATCCTTGTCCACAACTTCTGATAGACGTTTACAAAGTCTTTCTCGATTAAGTTTATATAGTTCCATAGGCACTGCCAATGTATGTTCTCCCAAACTGAATTTCCCATCTTGACTAATATTATAATCATGAATATCAAAATATTAATTCCTTTATACATATTTATTCAGTTGATGAAATAAAAAGAGTTACAATAACTACCTGATACATGTCATTTTATTGTTCGTCGAAACTGGTGCAGTAAATGAAACCTATTTTTTACCTTTTAAACTATCGAATCAGTTTTAGTAATGTAGATACCTATTAACTAATACCAATTGCCAATTAGCAATTATAAACAACAAAATATAAATTATAATAGGTAGGTAATTACTATAAATTAGTGTATACACTTTACATATCAAAATGGTAACAATTTATTTAAATATTTACACAATGATAAGTGATAACAGAAGTATTGTGCCATCGTCACTGATAAACACGGCTATAGATGATAAGAATAAAAAGATATGAAGGAAACACAAATGACAAATGATAATAAAATTAAAATATAACATATAATATTTTGCAATAATTTTATAAATAAAAAAGAATAATACAATAATACTAATAATACTATATTAATTGTATCAAAAATGATACATTTATTTTTTATAATTAAAAAAATTTAATATTTAAAATAAATTAAAATGAATAAAACATAAATCATTTTTCAATACTGATATAAAAAATATGTGGCTACTCCTCTTTCATTACTTTCACTTATAATTTAATATTAGTTGTAAATAGTAACTATAAGCTAATAATTAGACACATACATCACATACGACACCTAATTTAATTTGATTTTTGAGCAAAACCTACTTGTCTTATGTTAATTATTCTCTTAAGAATTAATTTCAAATTTGTTTAGGTATACTTCATTCAGATCCTTTGAAAAATGGAAATAAAATTGTTTTAATGTTCAGAAATTTATTTTACGTTCATCAATAATGAATGTTTTTATTTTACTGGACTTTGAACTTAACTCTCAATATTCAATTATAATATAATGAGAACATATTTTAATAAAATTTTAAATCAGATAATAGTTTTAAGATTTAATTAGGTACCTTTAACCTGAATTAAGTGATATTAATTTAACACCTTTTTGACGTCATAATACCTATTTCTTTTTTTTGATTATGCCATACAGCTTTTAATAGTAATAAACAATACAATTAAATATTTAAGTCAGCCTCAAGGAAAATCAATCTTACATGTAAAAACACCATTTAAATATACCTTTATTGGCCATTACTTTTTTATCTTTTGAAATAATGAATCCCATTGTAAAGAACAATTTAAATTATAACTATGTATGTTTCAAGTTACGGAAACAGAAATTATATTTAATATTGTAGCCAAGATAGTTTATTATATGGTTATACCTAGTACTTTATTGCAGTACCCATTTAAATAAATATACAATATACCAGCACAAACTATATGAAAATATATGATATATTTTTTATTTTTTTATTAGATTAAGGCTTCAACGACTGAAGTCATTAGCCTAAAAAGTTGGCTAGCAACATGTGTATGTATAGCAAGGTTTTTGTCACAATAAACCAGGGTGGTCACCTATCTGGGAATTAGTTGCAGCAAACGTTAATTACTCTCAACCACGTTGCGTGATTAATTGTAGCCACTGTGCTGCGCCGACATATTATTTTATTCCCCAATCTGTAGTTTGTATAATTATAAATCAAGTTAATGAAGAAAAATTATAAATAATGACTTAAAACCAAATAGATCTGGAGATGTTATTCTTCTAAAACAGTACAAATATTACACTAAGTATTTTGCTATAACTATCCTTCAACTCAATTATACCAGTTGTTGATAAGATGATCCAACGGACGCCAGACAGTATAAAGTATAAACAGTCAACACCTTAGAAACCGTTTACCAATGATAAGCATGCTATTCAACCTATAATCTCCAGTAATATTTCTTAGATCCCTGAGTAGTAAGTAGGTATTGTATTTTTTAAGTTGAAAACTTAACCACTGTTTAGATTACAGTCTACAGTACAAATGCAAATATCAAACTATAATATAATGTTTAATTTGTAATTCAGCTGATATCAAAAATAAATTAAATAAAAAAAACTTTTAAATGGCAAACAAATATGAATATAAAAATTCAGATTTTAGAATTATGAAAAATCCTCGTGGAAGAGTGGTGAATCCCTAAACCTTCCTAGCTATATGCCTATATAAAATTATTACAATTTCAAAAATATTTAGGAATATTTTTTAGCATACTTGTTTTAGCTTCCTTACTCAAAATAACAAAACTACTGATGTATGGGCAAAGTCGCAGGAATTAATTATATTAATTAGGTATATTATAAAAAAAGAAACAAACTTTTTCAATATATTTTCCCTTATATTGTTAATCTAAAAGTACAATTAAAACAACAAAAAAAAAACAGTCTCCATTCATAACTAAATTTATACAAAAAATACCTATTTTAAATCACCATTTAATAAAATTATTATACTTTACAAGGTTTTGTACACAATCATTATAAAAGCTATTCTTTATGGTTTATATTAACTATTATATAAATAGATAAATTACCACAATAATTAATATACATGAACAAGAGAAGGTGAATTTGGCATTTGATAAATTAAATAGGTAGATTAATAATAAAAAAAAATCACAACATTGTTTAAGTTATTTTATAACATTTTTTAAGCATGTACTAATGTTGTTGGATAAAGAAAATAATGATACTTTCACTTACTGTAAATAACAGTTTAGGTTAATGGTATTGGTCCATTCACTTGAGTTATGCACACTTTATTTACAAATTACAATATATAAACTTAAATGTCTTAAATAGATCTTAATAACAATATGAGGTTTGAATAACATTTATCAAATTAGTCATGATAAAAAAAAAAAACTTGTACACATTATCATTTTTTGTAAGACTTATTACAAAATAATTTAATTATCTCATTGCTGAATGCTGACTAAATAAAACAAGCAATCCATAATACATTTGCAATAAGAATATGTTAAAAAAAAAAAAAACATACAAAATATATTTATATACACATGTGAATACAACAATATTAACATGGGATCTTTTACTATCCAACATTAACTTGCATAGAAATAAATGTTTGAAAAATATTTACATCATTTTAGGTATTATAATATTATAAGGTAACTTTACAAATCTATGGCCAACTAGGCTCTACTTTTAGTATTCAGAAAGACATTGAGCGGATTGAAAGTTTTATTTTAAATAATAACATCGATAAATCTAATTTTTAATAATTAATAAAATAATAACAAAATTTTGATACCACGTTTAAACAATAATTATGTATTAGAATGGGTTAAAAATGTTTATCTTAATACTTGATTAGAAAAACAAACTTCAGATACCTATTTTTTTAACGGTCTTTCAAAATGTGATGCAAATTTTTTTTTTTTGGTTAAACATATAGAACGAATGATTGCTACACAATATTTGTATGAAAAGGTTTATTTTTTGTCGAATAAACTAGAAATTAAATACAAAATACATTAGTACCTATTAATAACGTTGATCGTATTTGTTTCATCTACCTACAAAAATGAACTATTCATATTTTATTCATTAAATATGTTAAGTCAGACTGGAAATTTATACGTTGGACTAGATGTACAATATAGGTTTGCTAATTGAGTTACCAAAACAATTTTGTGAAAAATGCTAAATGTCAAGAATTAAACTTTGTTCTGAAATTGCAGTTAATTATCAGTTACCTACTATGAGACAATTATTGTAAACAATACATCAGTATTTATCTGAACAACTTATAAACAGCCTAATAACGATTTTATAAAAAGGAACCAAATATTTTATATTATTTTTGACAGAGCGTGAACGAAAAGTAACCATTTCAACACAATCTGAACTTGGGGCTCCTGGAAGACTCTTCGTCTGATTCATAATAGTACCTTTGTTTGGGAGAAAGTCCAATCTGCAGTCGGCGAACTGCTTCTTTGATGAGACTGCCCTCCCGCAACAAGGCCTGCAGCATTTCGTACGGGTCGTCGTTGGTTTGGTCGTCGTCGTCGTCATCGTCGTCGCACCGACATGGTCGTCTGGCAGCACAAGATTCGCAAGCCGCCGGCCTGGTCGTGTAGGGTTTCACCCGGGCAAAGTGGGAGGTGCGATTACGCCTAGACTTGAACCCCGACAGCCGCAGGTTCTCTTTGATCTCGGACACAAGGTGCTCTACGTCCAACGACAACAACTTGGGCTTCTCGTCGGCGGCTGCTGCTGCTGCAGACGTCATCACGTCCCTGCTGGGCATCATGTCACACATACTTACGGGAAACGTCGTGTCGTCGTACGCCAATCAATCGACGAAGCGCATCAAATCGAAGTCAAAGTATTTCGTCGCTTCGGATTTAGAAACTATTTTTTATCGACAGACGGACGTGAGCGATGATAACCGCAGCGGCGGAAACGAACGGAACAAGGGCGTGTGTAAGTGTGTAGGTCGTCGTAAAGGAAGCTACCTGGGTTCGTGATACGACGTGTGAATTGTTGTTATTAATTATCACAATGAACAACAATAAATAATAATATAGTTCTGTTTCAGTACGGGTGACCACCGCGGAGGAAAATAGTACGGATTGAGGACTAACCGGCACCGACGTCAGGTTGTGTGTATGTGTGTGACGTACTGCCGTGTGTGTGTCAGTGTGTGTCTTTCTTGAAATGGATTGTGGCGACACACGTCCGCGGGGTAGGGGTAAAGGCACGCACGCACGCACGTACGCCCGCAGACGAGGCGGCAACAACTCTCGTGTTATTGTTTTGGTGCCAATGCTCGCAGACAAAACATCAAACGTACAACGTCGCGTGCGGGCGGGCGCCGCGGCGACCGACGAAAATATTATTATGTGAATTATAGAAATAGGTACGGCGTACGCGGTGACCACGCGTTTTCTGCAATTACCTACGTATTTTCCGGCGAATCACTATAATATTATTATACCGTTGGCCGTTTTCACAAATGAAACAATATCGATGAAACGACGATGATATTCTCAATTGATTATTGCGTTCGTTCGGCAGACGAGATTTTAATATTTTATTAGTTTTCTATGCGCCGCACGACGGGTCTCCACTCTCCGGGTCTGCTGCTGAGTGCTG